AAACCATTTATTGAGTGGTTGTAAAGCTGGGATTGGAACCATGCTGTCTGGATCTGAAGCCCTCTTGTGCTGTTCCATCTGGCAGATCCTTGTGGACAGAATTCTGAGATACCCCTTCCCCTCCACAGACCCGATTCCCACTCCTGTTGGATACACCTTCCCCCAGGCATTCAATCGAACATGAATCTAGGTGTTGCTCTGCAGTGATTTTGCAGATGTAAAGTCCCAAATCACTTGACCTTAAGGTAGAGGGCCTGAGCCAATCACATGAGCCCTCTCTAAACCCGGACCCAGGAAATCAGAGGCTGGAGAGCACGAGGCAGATTCAAGGCTTGTTCCTGAAGATGGAGGGGACCTCTAGGAGCCTCCAGTTTACAGCCAGCAAGGAAATGGGACCTCAGCCCTACAACTGCAAGGAACTGAATTCTGCCAACAGCCTGATGAGCCTGGATGCCCATTCTGGATCCTTCCCAGAGCCTCCTGAAGAGAACTCAGCTGGCCGACACTTGATTTTGGCCTAACAAGGCCCTAAGCAGAGAACCCAACCACACCCTGCCAGACCCTGACCCACAGAAACTGTGAGATATTAATACAATTGTTTTTTAAGCTGCTAAGTTTGTGGCAATTCATGACGTGGCATTACAGGCTCTGACCAGAGGTCTCTAGCACCAACCCCGACTGTCATACCTGTGGGAGACACCATGTCTGCAAATGCCTCTCCAGGCCTCCAAGAGACCTCATGTGGTCACATCAAGCTCCCAAAAGCCCCTTAGGGCACTGTCCCTACTCTCTGCAGCAGCCACGTGAGGGCACTGAGAAGAGGACTGGCTGTGGAATTTGAGGCTTCTAAGTCCTGGCCTCCTAGGGCCTCAGGTGTCTTACCCATGTCTGCTATTAACGTGATGTATCGCTTGATATTAACCTTGGCCAGCTGGCTGAGGCAGTTTGTCAGGTTTGGCCACTGTGAAGTTACTCTTTGATCCCCCTTTCCATTCTGGAAGGAAGTCACTGTGCACAGCCCACACTGGTGGAGAGGGAGGCACCCTCAACTTGTATTTACTAAGTCTGGCAACTCCGCCTGTCACACCAGCACACTCCAAGTACTCCACAGCTCCATGAGGCTGGTGACAATCACATTAGATAGTGCAGCTCTACTTTAGAACATCAAGAAAAAGTATCCAAACATCAGTCACTTGGGTACCACTGTCCTATTGTTTACTTAGTAGTTTTCTGTAAAAGCACTCACTTTTTTTTTTCCCCCAAGATGCAGTCTTGTTCTGTTGCCCAGGCTGGAGTGCAGTGGCGCCGTCTCAGATCCCTGCAAGCTCTGCTTCCCAGTTCAAGAGACTCTCCTGCCTTAGCTCCCCAAGTAGCTGGGATTACAGGCACCCGCCACCACACCCGGCTAATTTTTGTATTTTTGGTAGAGTTGGGGTTTTACCATGTTGGCCAGGCTGGTCTGGAACTCATGACCTCAGGTGATCTGCCCGCTTTGTCCTCCCACAGTGCTGGGATTACAGGAGTGAGCCACTGCACCCAGCCACAGGGCTTTTTAAAAAGGGAACTTGATATCACTACCTTGCAATGGCCCAGCATCAAGATGGCCCTGGACATCCAAGAGGTAGAGCAGCCCTGTTCCTCCACATGGGCTTTTTCCATCCTTCCTTTCTTCTCCTCCTCAGAAGCCTGGGGCATGCGTAGGCCTCTTGGTCCTTGTCCTCAGGGCTCCAGGATCCCCACCGGAGGGAGCCTTCGCCAGTTCACAACCAGTGCCACGGGCAGCTCCGACCCCTCCTGAGGCCCAGGTGTCTCTGGGCCAGGAAGCTGTAGATCTGTGGCTGCCAAGCCTAGTTGATGACAAGACTCACTGGAGAGCTTTCTAAAAGCTTAGACTTCCCTAAGCCCCCAGCACGTGGATCCTAATTAAAGATATGGGTAGGACCAGGTTAAAAACAGCCCAGGTGGAGCTGATAATCAGCTACTTTTGACAACACTGAGTCCTACATGCAGGACGACCAGGCTCAGCTGTGCTCTGGGAAAACCTTCACCTGAAGTAATGCACAGCTGTCCGATGGAAGACCCCAGGGCAGGCACTGACTCTCCTTTTTTTTTCTTGAGGCAGAGTCTCAGTCTCATCTGTTACCCAGGCTGGAGTGCAGTGGCACGATCTCGGCTCACCACAACTACTGCCTCCTGGGTTCAAGTAATTCTCCTGCCTCAGCCTCCCGAGTAGCTGGGACCACAGGCGTGCACCACCACACCCGGCTAATTTTTGTATTTTTAGTAGGAACAGGGTTTTGCCATGTTGGCCAGGCTGGTCACACACTCCTGGCTTCAGGTGATCCACCCATCTCGGCCACCCAAAGTGCTGGGGTTACAGCTGTGAGCCACCACGCCCAGTCTGACTCACTTTCTAAAATGAGCAGTACCCGCTGGAGGAAGGCGTCTAGCTTGGCCTCTTCCCAAACTCACAGGACGTGGAATTCGGTGCTGACAGGCCCTTTGGAGAAACTCCTTTCCCTGTCCTGTGTGACCAGCAGGGAGGCAGGCTTGGTGGTTTGGTATTTCTGGGTGTACAGCCTCCTTGTTTCTTCCTTATCTTTCTTGCCCATATCACATCTCAGGTCCCTTGGATCAGGGACAGAACCGGATTGTGCTCCTCTGGGCGGCCGCCCACTGCACTTTAGGGCCTGGTAACTGGTTTAGTGAGTTCCAGGTTCACAGAAGGAGACAAACTGCCCAGGATGGGTCATACCCAAAGCCTCCCCAGTACCAGATTGAGGTGATAAGGTGACGAGATTTAGAGTTGATCTGGGACTCTTCAGTTGATGTTATAATGGGATGAGGCCTTGGGGCAGGGTGAATGTATTTTGTATTTGGCACGAACACACATCACTGGGGTCTAGAGGGCCGACTAGGTAGGCAGAATGTCCCTCCCCACACAATGATATCCATACCCTAATCCCCAGAACCTCTGAATATGTTACCTTACGTAGCAAAAGACTTTGACAGATGGGATTAGTCAGGGCATTGGGACGGGAAGATTAGCCTGGATACCCAGGTGAGCCCAATCTAACCACACAAGTTCTTAAAAGCACGGGACTTTCTCGGGCTTAAACGGGAACGATAAGGAGGAATGGGAGGTCCAAGAAGATACCATGCGCACAGGGGGCAGCCACGTGTCTCGTTCACCTCGTGTATCCAGAGTCTGGAACCCAGCAGGCGCTTGGCGACGGAAAGGCCACTAAAGTGAACTTTGAAGCACTGGATCCCAGTGAACAGTCATGTGGATGAATTATTTAACCTCTCTGACCCCACGTCATCCCTTCTCTATGGACATCACAAGTAAGGGCAGTGAAATAACCCACCCAAGGTCATCCCCTGAATGAACAGTGGGGCTGGCCCCACTGCAAGCCCCTCAGAATCCATCTGGCTGACAAATCCAGCACTCTCTCCACCCCCACCTCGGCTTGGCCATAATGAGCAGAACTCCTGGGTAGACAGGAGTGAAGCTTCTCATGGCCCCATTTCGTTCCTTTGCTCCATTCTGTGCCCTTGTTTTCTGGTGACTGGTTGTCATCCCATTTTCCATGCACAGACCAGCAGAGGGGGCCAGCGCCCATGTAGAGACCATCAGCTCCCAGAGCTGCCCTAGGGAAGGGCCTGGTCCCGGCCACCCGCAACAACAGTGTCCTTGACGACAAGGGGCACCTACTGGTTCACCACCTGGCTCTTCGGCTGCCAGCTAGACGCCCCTGGAAAAAGGACTTCATCTCTGTGGCAGCAGTTTTCACAGCTGTGAAAGGGGAGAGGGGAAACGGACCTCCCAGGGGTACTGGGACAGTAAAATGAAGCAACTCATGAGACAGCTTCTAGCACAGTCCCTGGCACTTAACTCTTAGTTGAATTTGCATTCTTTTATTTTTATTTTTTTTATGTTTCAGACAGAGTTTTGCTCTGTTGCCCAGGCTGGAGTGCAGTGGTGCGATCTCCACTCACTGCAACCTCCATCTCCTGGGTTCAAGCGATTCTCCTGCCTCAGCCTCCCGAGTAGCTGGGATTACAGGCACACATCACCACACCCAGCTAATTTTTTGTATTTTTAGTCGAGACGGGGTTTCGCCATGTTGGCCAGGCTGATCTTGAACTCCTGACCCCAGGTGATCTGCCCGCCTCAGCCTCCCAAAGTGCTGGAATTTCAGGCATGAGCCACTGCGCCCAGCTGAACTTGCACTCTTTATCAAGAGACGTTCAGTCAGTCTCAAAAGACTCTCATTTCAGATTCTGTCCAAACCACATGAATCGTTTTTTGGACTCGGCTGTCTCGCTCCTTTTCCTCCACCCTTTTATGTCTTTACCAACTCTTTCCTCTGTACTTAAACAGCACTCCCCAACAGTCAAGCCAGCACCCTTGGGCCTGCTATAAACTACACAGGGGGGCCAATTCAAAAGGCCCTGCTAAGCAGGGGGTTCCTTTCATCTGAAAATTGCTGTGGGCCAAGTATAAATTTAAGACACTGTGCCTTTGCTTGTATATTTCCTCTGTCTTCCAGCCTAAAACCCAGCCAATCCTAACATTGACCGAATGCCCATGTATGTTACTTAAGACCCCATGCTGGGCAGGGATACTGAGATAAATAAGACACAATCACGATGTCACTGGAAGCGCCTCCAACAGGGACAGATAGCAAGAGATGATTTCAGAACAACGTGTGTGCCTGTCTACAGAGATCCACTCTCAGGAGGGGAAAGCTAATTCCGTTCCCAAGAACTTACCAGCTACCACCCTTTGAAGGAAGAATTGTCTCCGCTTCACAGACTGACTTCCAAGGCCAAAGTCAGACAGGAACGGGCAGGACCAGGACTGGACCCCAGGTTTGACTAACATCACTTTCTCCCTTATCGCAAGCAGGCAGAGGCCCCTTGAAGATGTCCTTTCGCACCGGCTCCAAAATATCTACTAAATGTAGGTCATTATGACTGAAAATGCATTTTTCTCCTTATCCTTGCAGCAGGCAGCTGCTCTGTAAGTTTTGGCTGTAGCCTGATGTTTAGCAACACCAGCCCAAGGCCATCTGCTGACCTGCAGATCGCAGGGTTGTCACCCTTGAAACTGGAAGGCATTCCACACACAGTGTGTCTTCCAGGTGCTTTTTCTCCTCAACCATGAAACCACACACCCACAGGCCAGGCAAGAAAGCACTCAGTTACTTCACACATGGTCCTTCCTTCCCCTTCCTGCTTCACCTGATGCAGAATTTGTCAGTAAAACTTGAGCATTACAAGAATATGCAACAGAAAGAATTAGAGAACTTGGCAATCCAAAAGCTGCTAAATGAGGGTTTTCTCCATTTTGGTGGTAATGTAAAGCAGTTCCAAGAAAAGTGAAGTCACAGCCTCCGTTGCTTATTTTCGGTTCTTAGAAAAGAGCCAATGTCAAAGGGGAAGCGGCTCCGCCCCAGCACACAGCCTCCATTGTCTGGCAGGGAGCGATGGCTGATAAACCAACTTGGATTTGGCACCAGAAACCCAAAACCTCTGACATATGTTTTCATTTGGTGATGTCAAGGAGGAAACTCAAGCTGAAACAGTGAAAGTTATTAACATTCAGAGAAACCACAGCTCAGCTAACATGCTGAGGCGACAGCCTTCCAGCACCAAGCCACCAGCAGTTTTGAGGGGACCGTCAAAAAAACCACACAGTGCCCTCCTTTTCCTACCTCCACCCCCCAGCACACTCCTGAGAGGCATTATCACTTAGGCCACCATGTCAGCCCAACCAGCATTTTTCAATGGACATTATTTACCAGAAGCTGGGTGAGGACAAATGGGGCAGGATATGGTACAGGTGGTTTTCGACAGCTTGAGTCTGTTTTCTAGCACAGAAGCAGGTCTCACCACAGTACGGCAGACTTCAGGTTAACATCTTGGGAGTCTACCACACATCTAGCTCAGGGGTTACTACTGGGTGTCCCATCATAATCTGTGAATAAGGTTTGCTTGTTTTTGTGTTGTTTTTGTTTTTGTTTTTGAGACAGAGTCTGGCTCTGTTGTCCAGACTGTAGTGCAGTGGCACGATCTTGGTTCACTGAAACCTCCGCCTCCCAGGTCCAAGAGATTCTCATGCTTCAGCCTCCAGAGTAGCTGGGATTACAAGTGCATGCCACCATGCCTGGCTAATTTTTTTGTATTTTTAGTAGAGACGGAGGACTCACTATGTTGCCCAAGCTGGTCTCGAACACCTGGCCTCCGGTGATCAGCCTGCCTCGACCTCTCAAAGTGTTGCGATTACAAGCGTGAGCCACTGCACCCAGCCATTGTGACTAAGTTTTAACCTAAGAATTCTGTAACAGAGATCTCATTGTGTGCACCAAAATTAAATTTAAATACAATTAAAAGCAACTGATTGAGTGACCCAGCCAGGGAGAGAGCCCAAGTGTCCATCAAGAGGGTATGAAGGCCAGGTGTGGTGGCTCATATCTGTAATCCCAGCACTTTGAGAAGCTGATGTGGGTGGATCGCTTGAGGTCAGGAGATTGAGACCATCCTGGTTAACATGGTGAAACCCCATCTCTACTAAAAATACAAAAAATTAGCCGGGCGTGGTGGCCTGTAGTCCCAGTTACTCGGAGGCTGAGGCAGGAGAATCACTTGAACTCAGGAGGCGGAGCTTACAGTGAGGTTAGATCGCGCCACTGCACTCCAGCCTGGGTGACAGAGCGAGACTCCGTCTCAAAAAAAAGAAAAAAAAAAACTAACCAGGCATGGTGACACGCACCTGTAGTCCTGCTACCTGAGAGGCTGAGATGGGAGGATCAC